TATTCATATTTGTTTATATTAATATGTATACACACAGATACATTCTACATAAGAGAAGTAAACCATATATACCATTTTATGTGTGATTAAAGCTTCCAGGCAAGGGTGGTGTGAGGAGGATCAGAGACCCAATACAGAACAACATGCCTCTAGTCAAATACTTGAAGGGAGAAGCTCTTGGGTAAATAAACCAACACCAATTAATGTGTTATACCCATGAGGAGATAAATTTCAACCCAAAAAATTATTTTAATTACAGAAGTCAGAGCTGATCAAATGTGACAAAATGGAATAGGATTGATTTCAAATTATTCTTTCTTCTATCTACCTATAATGTCTGTACTTGGTTTGAATTAATTTTATAATTAACAAAAATAAATTATTAAATAAATATAATAATAGAAATAACTATCACGAAAAATAATGTTTCCTACTACCACCATGATTTTACATGAATAGGCTGAATGACAAATTGCAAAAATTTTGTAAAAAAATGAGCTGATCAAATGTGACAAAATGGAATAGGATTGATTTCAAATTATTCTTTCTTCTATCTACCTATAATGTCTGTACTTGGTTTGAATTAATTTTATAATTAACAAAAATAAATTATTAAATAAATATAATAATAGAAATAACTATCACGAAAAATAATGTTTCCTACTACCACCATGATTTTACATGAATAGGCTGAATGACAAATTGCAAAAATTTTGTAAAAAAATGATTCTTGCTTGTCAAGGGGCAAGGTAAAAATGATTCTTGTTTGTCAACTGGCCACCCAGCTTTGTCTGCCACTATGCTGATGTTAGCTCTGAAAGTTCTATATCCCTACAAATCCCTCAGTCTAAGACAAGCTCTTTCTTAGACTTGTTGGTCAACCTACTTGAATACATGATTGAACTAGACAGCTAGAAGGCAACGGTCACATACAAATAAAGCTGGCCACGCCAGCTGTCACATAAGAATTACCAACGAAAGTAGATGCAAGGAGTCATTACTGCCAAAATTGCTGCTGTGTGGCTCAGCTAGGGGCCTGAAGGAATCAGAGAGCACTCCCCACTGGTAGCACTGGTCTCTAGATTTCACTGTTGCTTTTTTCCAGACAATTCAATTCTGTTCAGCATTAATTGACATGGTCTACAAATTTAATCAAGACATTTCCCTGCTAAATCCCGCCAGTGACCCCCCATTACCCTTTGTATGCAGTCCAGTACCATTAGTAAGGCATCCAAGAAAGGCCTTCTATCATCTGGTGCCCGATTTCCTTTCCAGGCTCACCCACTGTCACATTGTTAGTTTGCTGTAATCCAGTAACTTGATTGTCTCTCTATTCATCTGATATACTGTACCTGAGGCAGGACTAGAATGAGTTATGGAACTCATTCATAATTCTACATGCCAAATGGAGCCCAGGACCATGACTTAAGGTTTGGACCTCTGCAGCTTTTCAGCTTTTGGGCTTCCAACCCCCAGAGGTGAAAGCTGTATTTGTAGTCAAACACTTCAGAAAGTGTCCAATCCATTTCCTGGCATGATGATTAACGTTAAGCAGCTGTCTTTTCTATTTTATTTAAAAAGTGGAATTTATGGGAGTGATATGGGGATTAATATTTATAAAGTATTTTTAAGAGGCAAAAAAAAAAAAACATATCTTAAAAAAAAAAAAAACCTGAGCCCTATATGCTGTGATTTTTTTTGTACTTAAAAAGAAAAAACACATACAACAGAAAAAAAAAATCATCATCTTTAATGATGCTGTGTGGCCCCCACCCCACATCTTTTGGTCTAGACAACTCCTTTCTATTCTTCCTTTTGGTTCCACTTCATGGACATATCCCCTGACCTGTTCAAACCATAACAATACTAAGTTCCCCTTTTCTGTTTACCTAGTATCTTGTTCATTCTCTTTGTAACATTTTGTTTTAATGGTAATAATTTTTCTTATTAAATATATTTTAATTGTGTATCTCCTTTGATATACAGAAGAGTCTATGAAGACAGGGATGATGTCTGTCTTAGTCTTTGTTATATTCTGAGCACAAGCTGGGATGTTGAACCAACATGGTCACCATATTGTGGAGCTTATGCTATAGAGTGGTTGATCTAATATCACATGATATTAGAACCAATTAAAAAAATCCAAGACATGGGGTTACTACAGCTCTGAGAAGCCTGTGATTTAGAATTCATAATTCTAACTCTCACTGCAACAAAACAAGATGTAGTCCTGAAATCCCAGCCAAAATTCTTAATGCATATTCCCAGTGAGGTGGTACTAATTAAGTACCATAATATTTAGTACTCTACTTCCTTTGGAAGTGACTTCTATTTGCTGGTCTGGGAACCCAACCACTACTTTAATTATTCTATTCCCAAAGTCCCCTTCAATAAATACACAAAAGAACTTCAGGAGAATAACTCGTCTGTAATTTGGAAATTGTCTACATAGTGCCCTCTCAATTCATCATGATTTATTATTTAATGTTATTATATAACCATAAATTACTCCAATTCAAAGTAGAGCTAATTTGAAATATTTTTATGGTTATTAAGACTAGCAACAAATACCTCATTCTAGAAAGTGTAAGAAGCCAAATTGACTTCCTGTAAAACTCTATAAGCTTTGAATGTTTACAATTTTATGGTTTCAAATGTTTATGAAGTTCTTTCAAAATTTTTTTGCCTTAAACCATTTTTTCAATTTACTGATGATGTGTTTTATAAAAACCCAATAATTGAATTTCAGCAGCAGAGATTGTGAAATACTACATTATATTTATGGTGAAGGCATAAAATAGTTTAAGTCCTTTCAGACAATACTGCCACGTAGAAAATTATTTTTTATTATTGGAGAGTTTTAGTCTTCTTAAAAAATAATGTGGTAGTTAGGTCAAAAGACCATGGGAAATTCTGCATCTAATAAAGGTTTTAAAATCACATTTACTTAATAGAGTGATACAGAATTTTACCTACTGAATTGTACAGTCTCTAGTACATGCTTGCACTTTAACTAATAAACTATGCACTATGAGAACATTTTGTTGAAAGAAAAACAGTATTGGATTATCTAAACAACCTTAAAACACAAATATGAATTTAAAGTCTCTTTCCGGGCCCGGCACGGTGGCTCATGCTTGTAATCCCGGCACTTTGGGAAGCCAAGACAGGCAGATCACTGCAGTTCGAGACTGGCTCAGCCAACAAGGTAAAACTCAACTCTACCAAAAATACAAAAAAAAAAGAAGAAGAAAAATTAGCTGGGCCTGGTGGCATGCCTGTAATCTCTGCTACTTGGGAGGTGAGACAGAAGAATTGCTTGAACCTGGGAGGTGGAGGTTGCAGTGAGCAGAAATGGTGCCACTGAACTCCAGTCTGGGTGACAGAGCGAGACTCCATCTCAAAAAATAAAAATAAATAAAAGTCTCTTTTCATGAAAATTTAGTTCAGATTTTAGCCATGTTTTTCTTCAAAATCACTGTATTATGTAATGTCACTATCATTTTATACATAAAAATGTATTAGGCCATCATAGTCATTTATTTGTCATAGGGACAAAAAAGAGAATCTATGACCCTATGAAGCTTAGAGAATAAAATTATAGAAATATAAACATATTGGATATTTGAGATTTTTTCTGAAGAGTTCTTGAGTACAAATGAGTAACCCAGCTATTTTCCATAGCCTGAGGAAAGGGCAATTTCAGATAATTAAATACTTTCCACAGCTCAACCCAAATATAAACCTATCCCAGCAATGTCTGAGACTCCCAAACCACTTTTCTCATATACTTCTCAAGATCCTAGAAAAGCCCTCACTAGAGCTTTTCTCCAAGCTCCACATCACCCTCCTAGCAGTGCAGAATGGAATTCAATTAGGAAGGGAGAATTTTTGTCCTTCCTTTGTATATCGCCATGCCTCCCTTCCCACTCATACTTTGTTATCTATTCATACACTCACTTTTTCCACTGAGCATTTATTCAGCAAACATGTACCTGTTGTTTCCAAGGCAGCTTATAAGCATTGAAGACACAAGATAACACATGCTGTTTGTCCTTGGAGAGCTTTCAATATAAAAAGCTCCACAGATAAGAAAGAGATAATTCTACCACGTGAAAAGTGTTAAGATGAACTGTGGGCAAGGGCCTAGTAAAGCAGAGAATGAGGTCCTCTCAATCAAACTCAGGGAATCAGAGGATTTCTTAGGGGCTATGATACTTTTAGAGGATTTTGAAAAATGCATAGAAATTAAACAGAGGAAAATGAGAACAAAGGTGTTCTATGAGTAGGAATTAATATACACAACATCCAGAAGAAACAAAAAAGCATGCTGCTTTCAGAAAAATTTAAGTATTTGTTTATGCTAAGAGCAATGAAAATCTGGGAAAGACTGGTAGGAGACAAAACTAAAGAGATAGCAGGAGATTACAATGGGCCTGCATGCCAGGCTAAGGTGTCTAGATATTATGATAAAAACAATGAAAATCAATTGATTTTAAACAGAGGAAAGGCATATTACAGTTAATGTTTAGAAATATTACTCTGACAGCAGTGTGAAGAATGAACTAGGAGAGCTCCAAATAAACATTAGGAGACCAGTTAAGACAATTCCGCTATAATCCAGTCAAAAGTAGTAACAATAATAGCAACTAACATTTATGAAATACACATTATATGCTGGATTCTATTCTTAATGATTTTATATGGATTGGCTTATTCAGTTCCACTATCACCTACGAGTCATGTTGTGTTCTTATTCTTATTTTATATATTAGTCAACTTAAAAAAGATAAGTAACTTGTCAAGGCCCATATAATTAGTAACCTGCTGAACTATGATTTGAACTTAGGTCTATCTAGCCTGGAATTTCATCACCATGCTCTAGGAATTAGTATCTGACCTGAGGACTTCAGGAGTGAGACCAGAAATGTAAAAAATACATATATATATATATATATATATATATATATATATATATCTCAAAAAATAAAAGATATATGATATATGTAATGAAATATAAAGAAAGAAAGAGAGAGAGTTTATTATATTATGAATAATTTAAATTCAGCTTAAATATTGTAGTCCTGGGGTGATTAAATGTATCACAAAAATTAATGAAATAGACTCCTCAGAAGACTACTTACACAAAAAAATTGAGGAACTTCTTTAGAAAAAAAGAGCTCACCTTGGAAATATAGAAATTCAAAGTGTAACTATGGCTAAAAGTGAACAAATCCAACACAGGAAGTAGTAATTGATTGGGAAATCAATTGGGTATCTATGATTGATTGTTCATCTATTATTTAACTTTTCCTTTGGACTATCCCTTAAGGATACATAAGGGAAGCAACGCATCCTCCTCTTTTTCTTCACAGGACGTACAATTGCCAGGTATCCATCTTCTGGCTCCAGTGCAGTGCTGTGGACAGAAGCATAGATGAGAGAAGTGGTGGTACAGATTCACAAGCACAGTGCTGGCCATGATGCCTGTGAGAGATGGCAGAAGATTATCAACATCAGTAATAGACAGTTATTCCCAGATAGAGGAAGATCATTTGGGCTCTGTCCAATTAGTTAGTGTAACATATTACAAAGTGAATCCACCAGAATAATCACTAGGAACTGTAATCTCCTCATGCCTGGACCAATTAATGAGTATAGAGGTGAGGAGAAAAGTTCATTTAGGCTCTAGGAAAAAAAAAAAAAAAAGTGTGTCTGATCTCTCAGGAACCTAGCACTGACTGGTGCATAAGAGACTTTGAAAATAATGATTGACAGCCTAGCCAATGCAAGACATGGATCATGTCTTCTGCACATGCTACTTCTTCAAATAAGTTCCCAGTGGTAAGTGGAGGTCTCACGGTTGGATGCAAGAGGTAGAGGGAATGTAAGTCAAAACTCTGCCCCCTGGAAATAATCTGTCATTACCAGTTGTGGGGGGTATACGAAACACTGTCAGGGCATCTCCTTCTACTTCCCTAGTGTACCAGAAAGTGCCACATCTGTAGACTGTCCCTGTGTCTGAGAGTCTGTCCCAGAAGAAATGGTGAAGTGGCCCAAGTAAAAAAACTCTTATATTTCTATTATTCCCAGTTGGGATTCTCAGGTTTGGCACTGAAAGAAATTTCAGGTATTTTATTGGAAAAAGAATGTGGCAGAGGTTCAATTTTAGGCCTGAGTTCTGTTTGCCCTAAGATTCAGCTGGATCTGGGTTTATCTGGATGATAGGTTCCCCTAAGTCTGCCAAAGGTCTAATTAAATAATCAGGGAACATTTTAAAGAGGATTAATAACCTGAAAGATTTTGCTTATACAGCATTCACCAGGCTTGCAGTGGCAATAATGAACTTTAACAGCAAGACTGGGAGTCAAGATATCTCTAGTGTCCTAGACACCAAGCACCAGCATTCTTAGGACATTTTGTTTTGGGTTTCCAACACCTTAATGCAAATAACATGAATATCAGAAGTAGTAGCAACATTTTTATAAGGCAGTAGTAGTGGCTCTGGGGGACTTCTGTAATATGACATTGCTGGCATAATTTACTGTTAATGTCAGAAGCAACTGAAGATATAAGAAAAGAGGCCGGGTGACATCAGCAAGATAGGTGCTATGGTTTGAATGTTTGTCCTCTCCCAAACTAACTTGAAATTAAATTGTCATTTGTAACAGTATTAAGAGGTAGTACCTTTAAGAGGTGACCAGGCCATGAGGCTCAGCTCTCATAAATGGATTAATGCCATTATTGCATGGAGTGAATTTGTTATCATGGGAATGGCTTTCATATAGGAGAATGAATTCAGTCCCTTTTCATCTCTCTGTCACTCTCATTTTGTCCTTTTGCCATTTGATGCTGTTTGCCATATTATGATGGATCAAGAAGGCCCTCACCTGATGTTGGCACCTTGATATTAGACTTACCGACCTCTAGAACTCCGGGCCAAAAAAATTTTTGTTTATTATAAATCACCCAGTCTGTGGTATTCTGTTATAACAGCTTAAAATATACTAAGGCAATGATGGAATAGAAGTTTTCAACTCTTATCCTCTCTTGGAAACATTAATTTAAAGCAACTATTCAAGCAAAAAGATACTTTAATAAGAGCTAAAGAATCCAGGTGAGAAATTACAACAACTGGGCAGAAATTTTTTAATGCTATAATTCCACCACAGCATCTTAGTGGGAATTTAATGCTATAATTCCACCACAGCATCTTGGTGGAAATTTTTTTAAATGAAGAATTGAAGAAGGTAGCAAGGACAGCTTTTCATTACCTGTGTCATTTCTCCCCTAAGCCTGGGAAACAGAGAGGGAAGAGAGATACACTCTGTATGGGAAAGGGGGAGCAGAGTGAACACACAACTTTGCCTCAGACCTTAGATCCAGACGCCCCAGTGAATCCTGGTGCCAGGCTGTCCTCTGTGGCTTCAGATTCCAGGCTGTCACCTGCAGACACAGAATCTAGGCCTGCCTGGCATCAGGCCAAACCCACAGGCCCAGCCTTTAAGCCAACCACAGAATAGGGTGAGTTCAAATGGAACTAGGCTCTAGGCCCATCCCCATGGACCCAGGATCCACATGTTCCCCCACTGACCCAGAGGTCAGGCCCACCTTGGGCCAGGTCAACTACCGCAGACTCAGGACCAGATCCATTCCCAAAGATCCAGACTCCAGGCTCACCCTAACCTCAGGCTGGCAGCCTTAGATTGGGGTTCAAAGCCCACCTATGTGTCAGGTTGGCCCAGGTGGACCCAGGCTTCAGGCCTGCCCTAACAGACCCACACACACAAACAACTGATCTGAGGACTACATTGTATGCTCTGCCTAGAATATTTAAACAGATTGACTGCTGAAGTGCTTTTCCTGCTAAAGTCTGTAAAAACTGGAAGAGGTATCTACTTCAAAAGGGCAATCAAAAATAATCAGGGAAATATGACACCACTAAAGGAACAAAACGCAGCACCAATAACTAATCCCAAAGAAACGGAGATCTATAAATTGCCTGCCAAAAAATAAAAAATTATTTTCTCAGTGAGCTACAAAAGATAGACAACTAAATGAAATCAAGAAACGAATAAATGAACAAATGAAAAGTTCAAAAAAGAAATAGTAACCACAACAAAGAACCAAACAGAAATTCTGCATCTAATGAATACATTGACAGCACTGAAAAATTCCATAGAGGGCTTCAACAGCAGATTCAGTTAAGCAGAAGAAAGAATCAGCAAGCTAAAATACAAGTCATTTAACTTATCCAGTCAGAAGAATGAAAAGAAAAATGAGTGAAAAACATTGAAGAAAGGCTTATGGTTTTGAGACACCATCAAGAAAACTAGTATATGTATCATGGAAATTTCAGAAAGAGCAGTGAAGGAGAAAGGGACAGACAGCTTACTTAAAGATATAATGTCTGCTTCCCAAATCTAGAGAGAAAACTGAATGTCTAGATCCATAAAGCACAAAGAACCCCAAATAGATTGAATGTGCAAAGATCTAAGATCTTCTAAAATTCTCAGAAATCAAAGAAAAAGAATTTCAAAAGCAGCAAGAGAAAAGCAATTCATCACATAAAAGGGAACTCAGCAGAAACCTTGTACACCAGGAGAGAGTGGGATGATATATTCAAAGTGCTGAAAGAAAAAAAAATGATCAATAAAAAAATATACCCAATGAGCCAGTTTTTCAGAAATAAACAAGAAATAAGGACTTTTCCAGATAAACAAAACCTGAGATATTTTATTACCCCTAGATCTGCCCCACAGGAAACACTAAAAGGAGTTTTATAAGCCCGTACTACTAAGATACTAAGACGCTACTACTGGACCATATCATAGTTCTATTCTAATGTTTTGAAGAAACTACATGATGTTTCCCATAATGGTTCTAATAATTTGCATTATCACCAATAGTATGCCAATGTTCACTTCTCTCCACTTCCTTGCCAACAATTATCTTTCATCTTTTTAATAGTAGTCATTCTAACACATGTGAGGTGATAACTCATTGTGGTTTTGATTTGCATTTCATGCTGATTAGTGATATTAAGCATTTTTTCATATATTTGTTAGCCATTCTATATAATGTCTTTTGAGAAGAGTCTATTTAGGTCCTTTGCCCATTTTAAAAAGTTTTTTTTTGTTTTGTTTTGTTTTGTTTTGCTATTGACTTTCTTAACATATTTTAGATGTTAACTCCTCGTCAAATGATACTAAGCCTGTTCAGTGCAATCCCTATATAAATTAAAGTGCCATTATTCACAGCAATAGAAAAGTGATTCTAAAACTTATATAGAACCATGAAAAGTCCCAAATGCAATATTTAACAAGTAGAACATAGCTGGCTGCAACACACTACTTGATTTCAAACTATCCTACAAAGCTGTAGTGATCAAAAGAATATGATATTGGCATAAAAACAGGCCCTCTGACCAATGAAACAGAACAGACCCAGAATTTATGGTAAATTTATCTTCAACAAAGTTGACAAGGATATACAATGCAAAAAACGTAGTCTCTTCTACAAGTGTTGTTGGGAAAACTGGATATTGACCCTTGGAAGAATGAATTTGAATCATTATGTCACACTATATGCAAAATCAACTCAAAATGAATCAAAGACCTGAAACTATAACCTGCTAAAAAAGAAAACAGAATGAAAAACTATGCTATTTTACATATTCAATGATATTTTAGATATGACCTCAAAAGCACAGGCAATATAAGCAAAAATGGGCAAACAGGATAGCATCAAACTAAAAATATTTTGCATGGCAAAGGTGACAATAGAGTGAAAAGATGGCCTATAGAATGGGAAGAAAATATTTGCAAGTCATACATTTGATAAGGTGTTAACATCTAAAATATATTAAGAAGCTCAACTCAATAGCAAGAAAACAAATAACCTAATTTTTTATTTGGGCAAAGGACCTAAATAGATACTTCTCAAAAGCCATTTTATAGAATAGCCAATAGATATATGGAAAAAAGATGCTAACACCACTAATCAGAAGGAAATGTAAATCAAAAGCACAATGAGTTATCACCTCACATCTGTTAGAATGACTACTATCAAAAAGATGAACAATAACTGTTGGCAGGAAAGTGGAGAAGAGGGAGCACAGGCATACTGTTGGTGGTAAGGTAAACTGGTACAACCATTATGGGAAACAGTATGTAGGTTCTTCAAAAAAACTAAAATAGAGCTATGATGTGATCCAGTAATCCCATTCTTAAGTATATATCCAAAGAAAATTGGTATACTGAAGAGATATCTGTACTCCCATGTGAAATTGTAGCATGCTTCACAACAGCCAAGATATGAAATCAGCCTGTGTCCATTAACAGATGAATGGAAAGCAATATTATTCAGCCTTAAAGATAGAAAGGAAATCTTTTCATTTGTGACAATATGGATAAATCTGGAGGACCTTATGCTAAGTGAAATAAGCCAGACACAAAAAGACAAACATCACATGATTGCACTTATATGTGGAATCTAAAAATCAAATTCATAAAAGCAGAGAGTAGAATGGTGTTTACCAGGGGCTGGCAGGTATGGGGATTGGAGAAATGTTGGTCAAAGGGTAAAAAGTTTCAGTTTTTCTGGATGAGTTGGTGCTGGAGATGTCCTATAAAGCACAGTGACTATACTTAGTAATACTGGATTGTATACTTGGAATTTCCTAAGAGAGTAGATCTTAAATGTTCTCAGCACAAAAAAATAAAAAATGGTAGCTATGAAATGATGGGTATCTTAGTTAGCTTGACTGTGGTAATCATTTCACAATATAAATCAAAACATCATTTTGTACCCTGTAAATATATATAATTTTCATTCATCTATTCAACCTCAATCATGCTGAGGGGAATAAGAAGCTAATAACAGATTGATCTCAAAAGAGTGTCAAGTTCTTGAAATAAATATGAGACACTCACTGGAAATACCAGGGACAGTTTAGGAAGAACTGGAAACCAAAAATTTCTAAGATTAAATAGGTCCAGTGTCAAAGAAATAATGTTTTATGATTAACTCTGTAGTCTTGAAAGGAGAAAATAACTGATGGATAATTGTCTGTAATGACTCCAACTTTCTGACTTAAGTTGTAGGTAAATGATGATGCTAGTCACCAAGATAAAACATCTGATACAAAGGACAAATTTGGAGCAGGATAAGGAGGCATGGATAGTTTGGGAGATGATAAACTTAGCTTTTAATTTGAGCACTGTGCATTGTACAAACAGAGAATGTTCATTACGTGGCATACAACAGTCTTGATCTTGGAAGAGCAATCAGGAAGTCCAAACAGAAAAAAATAAAATAAAATAAAACGGAAAGTGTTGATTAAACTTGGCTTTATGAGTTTAGTGAATATGATGAGAACATTCTTAGGGAAGTGGTAGAGGTAGAAGCCAGATTTTTAGGTGCTAAGGAGTGACTGCTTGGTGAGAAAGAGTAAACTATAATTTTTCTTTCTTTTATTTCAAAATTGTTAACTAAAAGAATAAAGAAAGATAGGAAACAGGAAAGGTCAAAAACATTTCTAGGTTGATTTATTACAAGTAGAATGAGGGAGAACTGAAGAGAGGAAACAAAATGCTATATAAATAAACAGGTACTGATATCAGACAACTTGAATTTGGGGTAGAAATAAAGGGAATTTTCAAAGCTATGAGCCAAAATGCCAAGTCAATTTAGGCCACCCTCAGAGTGAGGCTGCTATGGCAGCACATTTCTCTTCCACATTTCAAGCTTTTTTGTGCCTCAATATTTATTCTTTCCAAGGAGAAATACACATTCCAGCTGACCTTCAATGTAGAATGGCCCACGTGCTTTGGTTGCTTAACAGAACTATGACACAGAGATCAAAAAAAGCTTTAGAGGTATAGTTTATCTTATATATCTAGATACTATGGGATTCTTAGAGGAAAGAAAG